GGTATTTTTTTGTCAAGTTCATGTCAGGTCACGGAATTATGACGTCATAAAGGGAACAACCTCCGGCCAGATTTACGCTAAATTGGAGATTGCTTCACATTAGTATAAATGCCGACTGACCTGACACACTAATGAATTATTTTAGAATCACAACTGGCTGATTTGACATTGGCACAATGTCCGTTGACATTTTGAAGGTTACTAAAGGTCAAGGTAAGGTTAGTGACCTCGGTTGACCTGTAATGACTTCTTTTACTTGTATGCCTTTTCGGGGTATTTTGATGCCCTGAATTCGAATTTTTCTATCCATTTCAGGCATCGTCGGTTGTTTCTTGTAGTTCGTTTTGGGTCAGGGTCAGGTCAGTGACGTCACACGCCTGACGTGACCCAATGCACAAATGACCTTGCAGACTTCCGATGCTCCCAACGCATCATTTTTAGAGGTATGGCATCGAAATACACACCAAACGATAGAGAATTGATCAAGGATCACGATAGTGATAGTGATCCACGTTAGTGATCTCTTACCGTTTTGCCGCAATCGGCGCGGAAATCTGAAAAAGTTAGATTTTTTTCCGAAAATTTGACCTTTGACCGGTCATAAGTAGGTCAAATGTTGACCTAGGACCAAAGAATTACCACCAATCGCGAGATCTCGTTGAGAGCAATCCGTTGGTTTTTTCCGCTAAGCTCTACGACGCTCCGTTTTCAAACGCCAAGGGGGGGGGGTCGCACCACCCTCCCCCTGCATTAGCGAAGGTGGCAAAACACCGTTTACGGGCGAGGGTTAAACTGAAGAGTGCTTCCTATATTAAAATATAGAAAATAATCTTCCTTATAAAAAGGTTTTATTTTCTTTGCGGATCATTTTGAGCATAAAAATCGTAAATCCATTGCAAAAAGTAATTTCGTGAAAGTGAACTATTCCCTTTAAGATAGAGTTGAGATAGCGAACTTTCAGTGGAAATCGAGAAAGTAAGGGCTGTGATTTTCATTTGATTCACGTCATCTTCCTGGCTTCCATGAAAATCGCTTCCTTTCATGGCAATGTGGGTCTGTCCCTTCCGGGTTACAGACAGAAGTACGTATCGCTAAAGTACAGACCTCTGCAGACTGCGTGGGAACTGGTAGGTATTCTTTTTTTTCGACAAAACCGATAATAACTCAAAGGCTCAAGGCCATATATAGAAGGTACAGTCACTCCCCCGCCGACCAATCAGAGACAGATCCTGAGTGACGTCATCCCTGATGCTCGCAAGGGGTGCTCCATTCCCTAACAACGTAAAAATGACAAACTTCATTTGAAGATTATTGATGGTACTTTTCACATATTGCTCAACCGTTGATGTCACTCGAATGCCCAACTAATTTTCTAGCGACATAAAAGAGCAGCAATATGCTAAGAAATGGCCGGTTTTGAAGATATAGGCGATTTTAAAACCCTCTGCAGTAGCAGAAAAGCAACGTAAAAACGCATCGAACTTATATTTTTACTATAAGTAAATCATTTTTCAGTATGTTTTTAGATAACGTATTGATATGAATAATAACTTTATTACCATATTTTTTATTATTTGTAACTTAATTTCAAAATTATATTTTCAAAAATGGCAATGTTGGCAAGAAGCTTGGAAGCGATTGTGGCGCACAACGCCATTATTGTCTTGAGGCCCCCTTATGATGTCATCAAAAGTGGATTGACATGGGCCTGCAAAGGCTATGTTATCAGTCGGTCGGAACTCATTGCAAATAGATGCGCCATACTCCACTCCTTCGATTGGGTCTGTCACTAAACAAAGTGCCTATACGCCTGCTGTGCCAACAAAATGCATAAGTTTGTTTTGGGGGCAAATATAAACTTATGGGTTTTGCTGCCAAACTGGATGGAAACTGAGTGCGACGATAAGTCCAATCTAAGGTGCGGAGTCTCGCGCGTTTTGCTGTTACAATTTCTGAGTGGCCGATAGGGGAGAGTGGGGCACTTCGTGCATGGGACATTTCGTTTTCAGCAGTTTATGGGAAACCGAGTGACTGCACGAGCTCAAGGCAAATTATGAAAATATGTGTATCCTTGCCGCCCCTCGTGTAATATAGATGACAACACTGTACAGTCGTGTACAGGTTGATGGTCCGCTACTCTTTATCCACCGGGTTCCTATGGCTCAGCATTGGCAGCAGCCGCCTGGTACCGGTAGGCTGTGCCGCATGACCCAAAAGTTATGCGGCACAGTCTACCCACGCCGTTTGACATCGGCTCGGGTCGCCGGGTGGAGCGCTTTGTAGACCAGCTGGGGCATTCCACGATAGATCGTACCAGGCCCGTCACCCTCATCTCTCAGATTTGAATGAAAATTGGTACAAGGGGTAATCATAGGCTCCAAAAACACCTGTCAAAATATCAGACTTCTCAGATGAAAACTTTTTGAGTTACATTGCATAATATTTTCTAAACTTCAGATTGTAAGGGTGAGTTTGATGAGCTATAACTCAAAAACGAGCTAAGCAAGCAACAAACGGTAAACAGTTTTGAACTAACGATGAATCAAAGATTAATACAGTATTTTTAAAATTGGAAAGAAAAGCTTTACATATTGACAAAAGTCGTAGTATTTTTCGTAGAATACTTATTTTTAGTTTTTTTCCCTACAAAAGGTGCTTAAAAATAGAATGTGATATATTTTGAATAGTTTATTAGAACAGGAAAGAAAAATTCAATAATGAAGTCTGTACTTTAAACAATTCTTATTCCAGGAAAAGTCATTAGGTAATAAATGTTGTACGTCTATATTACGCCTTACGAAGTTCCTCGCGAAAGCACTCGACAGATATCACGAACGCGGTTTGACAATTAAAATCGGTTGCTAGTTTATCCAGATAACAATTAAGCCCCATTCACAAGCAGTGCTGTCTAAGAGAGCCCCTTAATGCTGAAACGGGCTCTTTCCGAAGACAGAAAATGGAATGCGAGAGCCTATTCAAATGCATGTTATTACAATCGCGTCAATTGTTCGCACATCCCTGTAAGCGGTTGTTGCGATCGTGATCTTAATGTATTTAATTTAGTTACCTTGGTGGCAGGCGGCAGGTGGTGAGGGGCGAATCCCCTTAAAGGTAGTGTGCCACCTTTGAAAGATTTCCCATTTTATTTTTCCTAGGATAAGAAGCTTCTGTTTTTACCTAATATCGCAAAAAAAAAATCAAAAATGGGCCTGGAATAGTGCCTTTTTCGCCTAAAAGTTTATCGGTTTTTAGATATGTATAACAACTGTAGTGGGCTCACCTGCAAACAGGCGTCGGGCAACAATCGCGAATGCGGCGCACTTGTGACAATAAGCAAAGGTCATTATAGTGTTACGACCATACGACGTACGGGAATGAGTTATCAGCTGTCTAATCGTAGACAACACAATGTCGAGCCTTAAACTGTAAGCCCGTATTGGTATTGTTTCTTTTATTTGGCTGTCGAACATTATTTATGGTTTGAAATATGATTTTATGTAAAATAATTGATATGAAAAAGCCGTCTTATAAGTTATGACCCCATTTCACCACACGCAAGTGGCAGAAATGACAATGATCAGCTGACGCATTTTTCTTGGCCGAAGTCAGAGCGCGCGGCCCGACGCACCACGCGTATTTGGAAATTCCGACCTCGACGAGCATCAGAAGCCACCTAACAGGCGTGTTCGAAACCGCAGGAGATGATGATGAACGGGTTTATCGAAACTTGATTGGATGAGCATATCGGTAATAGCGATTTCAGTGTGTGCATTTATTGTTCATAGTGGTGTGAAATGTGGTTGGGGTACGACCGACAACCCGTCGGGGCGAATTTCGCACTGGGGTACTCAAAATTTGAAGAATTTAAGACGTTTCCATGAGTTTTGAAGGTATGGATAAGTTCTAAAAATCCGGTTCTCCTTATCTGGGCCATTAACTCCATACGGTCCGAGAAAGCTGGCACACTACCTTTAATTCCCTTCCACTATCCCATGGTGTCCCACAGAGGTCCCTGGTGGGCCCAATCCGGTTCAGCATCTTCACAAACTTTACCCCGATTTTCCTTGCCAGTTTTTCTTTGGTGAGGTAGGTCGCAAATAGGAAAGGGACAAACACCTTACCCTATGATGTTGTGCACAATAATGTTCAAGCTTCAAAGTCTCACAAGTGATGCATGAGTCGCACACTGACTGATCACTGCGTGAGTAGCCTTTCTGAAGAAAGACTACTGCAATATCACTTGCGAGTTTGTCAAAAGGTACTTGGAAACCTCCCGGCAATGGAGGAGAAACGGCCTCGTGCGAAAAAGCATCTCGTGGTTTCACCAATCATATCAGCATTAAAATGACAACGTGTTCCGGAGATTCTCTGAAAAAGAATCGGTATTCCGCGGATTCACTGAAAAAGAATCGCTAGTCCGCGTATTAACTTGGAAGTTCGAGGATTCCCGCGACTCTCTGGTAACTCCACGGACGCATTGGAAACTAGTAAATCCGCGGAGCCACGGCAGTGACTCCGCGGATTCACGAGAGTTGATGTGAGTTCGCGGAGTCCCGAGTGAGACCGCGGAGCAACCAGTGACTCCGCGAAATCGCGAAGTTTGCGGACGCTCTGTAACATGCGCACTATGTTCGGGCTTTCATTGCTGGGATCTGAGGTCAAAATGCTGCCGTCTGCCACGCACCCACGTGCCGAAAGTCCAAAAAGTTTTCCCGATTATGCTGCCCCACCCTGCATGTAGTGCTTGGTTGGTGGTGTGCTGTCTTGCTAAATTTGAGGGCTTCTTTTACGGACAAGCCTCAGCATGCTGACCTCGCATCATTTGTGGTTTGCGAGGAGGACAATGGCAATGTGTTGCCGCGCAAAAAGTCGATGCGACTCTTGCTGGATGGAGCACACCCATCCGTTGCCGTTTTACCTCCAACAGGACTCCAGGACTAAATATTTGAAACACTGTTCCATTCCCGACAAGCGCATTCAACGCTGACTGTGTCCGGCAGACGAGGGGGGCGCCTGGCGCGGCGGCCACAGCCGCTCCTGGCGGCCTGGAGGAGGCCGCCCGCGCGCGGCCGCCGACGCAGCGGCAGCCGAACGGCCGGCGGCAGGGCGTCTCTTTTGCGCCGGAGCGACACCAATTCACGGTGAGAGAGTTGGCCCATAGACCGGGGACCGGGGGGGGGGGGGGGGGGCAGCGGCAACTTTACAGCCGAGGTGGTCCGTCCCCCCGGGTTCCGCACAAAAAGTCAAATGATAAAAGGTAAAAGGATGATGAGACAACAGACATTTACGTCAAATGTAAGAAGTCAGAAATCTTAACCCGCGCCCCGTTGGGGTCTTCCGAGCGATAGCCACTCGGCCTAACCAACCCATTATCCTAGCCACTCGGCGTAACCAACCCATTATCCTAGCCACTCGGCGTAACCAACCCATTATCCTAGCCACTCGGCGTAACCAACCCATTATCCTAGCCACTCGGCGTAACCAACCCATTATCCTAGCCACTCGGCGTAACCAACCCATTATTCTAGCCACTCGGCGTAACCAACCCATTATCCTAGCCACTCGGCGTAACCAACCCATTATCCTAGCCACTCGGCGTAACCAACCCATTATCCTAGCCACCAGGCGTAACCAACCCATTATCCTAGCCACTCGGCCACGGTGACGATGGACATGGCGGTGTTTCATAATGTTACGATTAAAGCTAGTCTCAGTCGATATACATATGCCTGTACCCCATAGCACATGACATCGTTGTGACGTCACACCAAAGATGGCGCTTGCTGGTCGCCCGACTCGTTTGATACACTTGGGCAATACGTGGTCCGGCGCGTCTGAGCTGGCTCGTGTGTGCTGTTACAGGCGCCAGAGGGGCTGTCCCGGACTCCGCTGAGAGCGCCGCCACGGCACAGGTGAGAGCAAACGCTTGCGCCGACCAGGCACTGCTACGCTTTAGTACAACGATCGACAGCCGGCGAAATCTATCCGGTATGGGTAGCTGCGTCGGACATCGCCGGGTGGGCCCGCTGGCCCTGCACATTCGATCGGGCCGCGGGAGCGACTACCACCGTCCTTAACCGTTTCGTAGTCGATGGTAACTGAGCTTAAGTTCATAACTGAGCTAGAGCGTCGCGGAAAAAGAAAGTTCGTGTATGAAACCCAGGCTTTAGCGGCCCCACGTCCTCTTGACTAACACGATGAACGTACTACATGTATTTCAACGGTTTCTGTCGGACAAACAAAATCATGACAACACAAAAGACGACAAACAAATAACTTAAGTGCAGACGCAATTTCCGAGCAAACACAAGCTTACACATACACATAAGCCATCAGGTCACTTAACGTAACAGAAATAACAACATAAAATACCGCAAACAACTACTCACCAAGAATATCATACAGACGCGGGTCGCTTTGTCTCAAATCGCTTCTTCGTGTCGTTTTTGTCGTTCGTTTCGGACTTCGGTCACAGGTGTTTTGACGTCGTAGCACGTTTTGCAGAGACAAATAACGTAAATAAACTTAACCAAAACGCAGCATACAATTTTCCAATTAAATAACTTAAGTCCTTACCGATCCATTCTAAGGGTCTACAAATTTAATCCACCAAAACCAAATAAATTTAGTGAAGAGCAAAATCGCGAGCTCGGAAGCATGTGCCGGTTATCGACAAAGATCCTCGCCGATAACACCCTCCCCTTTGTATCGTTGCAGCGATACAACATGCCCATGTGTACAACCGTATATCTAAATTGTCGAGCCTTATCTGACAATTTCTGACAATGTAACTAGTCATCATGGGCAATGTGTCTGCGGATCAGCCCTACGATGTTTCGTCTTCTGATAGTAGTTTCACCAACTTTTGGATAGGTCTCGTCAACTGTGTCCCGCGACAGAGAATCGTAACCGATCTTACCAGACCGTCTAGACTGGTGTTTACCGTCTGCACTCTTCCTATGGGCCACTGCCCTCTTGGTACTGCTGTGTCAACTAGGAGTACGATGTCTCCCTCTTTCAGATTCCCTCTACTTCGAGTCCGTGCTCTCGGACGGCTCTGCAACAGGGGCAGGTATTCGGTTCGCCACCTCTTCCAGAAAAGTTCTGTCATATACCTGGCCTATTTCCATCTTCTTACGCTGATATTATCAGTTTCTTGCCAAATTCCTGCTTGCAGATCTCCCCCTGGTGCAAGCAATAGTAAATGGTTGGGAGTGAGTGGTTCAGCATCCGTGGGGTCCATCGTTAAAGGAGTCAATGGACGGCTGTTGATAATATTTTCCGCTTCGCATAGGAAAGCTCTTAGCGTCTCGCCCGTAAGCAACTGCGATGAGAGCAAGGATTCGAGGACTCTTCTCGTGGACCTTATCATTCTCTCCTTCACCCCTCCGTGATGTGAGGCACCTGGGCCCAATCTTACCAATGCCGTGCATGCAGAGGCCGTGGATGCCAACCACGGCGGCTGATCCACGGCACTCCATTTACCCAATCTTACCAATGCCGTACCACGGCATTTCTATTCACCGCATTTTGCCCACGGTACAATTCAGCGCCAGCAGAAAACACGCAATGTGATTGGTCAATTCTTGTCACCTTCGCTGTTGGAAATCGTGCGTAATGCTTGTGAACAGGTATAGCTCTCTATTTAAAGTTTTGTCGGGCGTTTATTTGTTTTAGAGACATATATATGTGTGAAGGATAAGTTATTTGTGGAAAACGTGATAGCAAACTATGAAAAACTAAAGCCTGCCTAAAGAATTCTCCTGAAAAGCGGATTACTGGCCTAATAAACTTCCGCGAGGACATTCTTGCGCTGAGAAAATCGAGTGGATTAGTTTTCAACTTCGTGTCGCTTATACTCATCATTTCGATTTACTTACTGTTAAGATATTGCAACAATTTTTAGATAAAATTATTGAAGTAACGACCTAGTGATAGCTCCGCTGCTGTTTTTAAGTCATTGGAATAATGCAATTGAAATGCAGCTTGTAAAGCTTAAACTTTGGGTTCATGCACCGGGCCAGCTCAAGCTATAGCCTATTTTTCTGCTTTTTACAAGCATCAGGGCTGCGGAGTCGGAGTCGGAGTCGGAGTCGGAGTCGGTCGGAGTCGACAGTTGTGACCGGAGTCGGAGTCGGAGTCGATTTTAGAAACCCGAGCCGGAGTCGGAGTCGGAGTCACCGAAAATCTGTCGACTCCGCAGCCCTGCTAGGTCTGCGGAGTCGGAGTCGGGAGTTGGAGTCGGTCGGAGTCGACAATTCTGCCCGGAGTCGGAGTCGGAGTCGGAGCTGGTTTTTGAAAGCCGGAGTCGGAGTCGGAGTCGGAGTCGCCGAAAATCCATCGACTCCGCAGCCTTGACAAGCATGATAACAAAAGGAATTCCTCAAAATATTGAAGAAACTCTTCTACATCTCAAAACCATATCAAGAAAAAGGCTTCCATTTCAGAAGTCAGATTGAGACGCATGAAGACAGCATGCTTCGTAGCTGTCTGTGCCAGACAGAAAGTGGTAAAATATGCATTGTGAGTGCTGATATAATTGTTTAACAAGTTTACGGTATTTAATTGTTTTAAATATTTACTTAGAAATCATTAAGTACCTATGTTTGTGAGACGTCCGGACGGGGTGAACACTGAAACACCCATATTATAGCATTTAGATAGGTTTGGCATTGGTAAGATTGGGCCCAGGTGCTAAAATCGCCTCCACGATCTCGTATGGATTTGAAAAATAAGACCATATAATGAATAAACATGTTTATTTTTATGGATTTGAGTGTGATTTTATCCCTGGAAAATACATGTTTTTGAAATAATCACTATGCGTGTAATCGTCGCTCTAAGATGTCAAGGGCATTATATGAAGAATTCTTTACTTAAAAAGTAATAATAGTGTCAAATATTGCATAGTAACATCCTCCCAGCGACCTATCCCTTTCACAACACCCGCCATTCACGGCACTAAAAGGTGGCGTGAATGGAACGGCCACCGACAGCGCAAACAGCTGATTATTTGCGTTTGTTCTGCCGCTCTCGCGGCAGCTTGTGCCACTGCCCATGTTAAAGCACTGCCAAAATGCCGTGGATAAACATCGACCGCATGCCGTGAATGAGATGGCGTGAATAGCTATCCACGGCATTGGTAATATGCCGTTGCCGTGAATGGGCTCCATTCACGGCATTTTGCCTATTCACGGCATTGGTAAGATTGGGCCCTGGAGTGTTGAAAATCCACTCGATTCCTCGTTTTCCTAGTGTGTTATAGATTGCGTCTGAAGAGTGCAGCTTTCTCCATTCCCTTTTCAATTCGTTATTTGCTCCGACAAAATTTGTGCCGTGGTCGGACCGAATCACCTGCACATTGCCTCTACGGGAAATGAATCTTTTTAAGGCACAAATAAACGAATCTGTCGAGAGATTGTCAGCCATCTCAAGATGGACGGCGCGAATTGCTAAACAAGTAAAAATGATGCCATATCTTTTTTCTTGTCCTCTTCCACGTTTGACGAAGAATGGTCCAAAACAATCGACACCAGTCCTTGTAAATGGAGGCTGCAACGCCTGAACCCTATCGATAGGCAAATTGGGCATTTTCTGATTCTCTGGCTGACGAAATCTTCTTCGACAGTGAAGACAGTTACTCAAAACCTTTCTCACAGCTTTATTTCCATGTATAATCCAAAACCTTTGTCTCACTGTGGTAAGAACGTGGGACAGTCCTTGATGCCCCAATTGCTCATGTACATCCTGAATGACCATGGTGGCATATCGAGAACTTGCGGGGAGGATGATAGGATGTTTCGCCATTTCTGGTAGCAAGGCACGTTCGAGTTCATTCAGGGAACTTTGAACGTACTTCCACTGGTTCGGTGAAGAACCTTCCCTTATGACTGCTAGTCTGTTTGCAACAAACGTGTGAAAACGCGTCTGCTCGTTTCGAATATAACGCAAAACTGTGGTACTATCGGTCCAAAACCATGACTCAATTTTGGTCCGGAACGCGCTTTGAATCATAGCGTTCACTTTAACAGCTAAAGTTGCAGCGGCTAGCTCTATCCTTGGGATAGTCGTCCCTTTGAATGGTACCAATCGTGACCGCCCGAATACAAAACCACAGTGAATATCACCTGCTTCGTTGACAACTCTGAAATAAGAGACAGTTCCGTAGGCGCGCTCACTACCGTCAGAAAAATGATGGAGCTGGCAAAATGCGTTCCTGAAAGACCGTGGCCTCAGACACCTAGGAACGGAAATTTTGTTCAAGACCAGAATATCGTTTAGCCATTGTTCCCACTGCTTCTGATATGGCTTTGGAATGCATTCATCCCAGCCGACTTTGATTCTGCACAGGTCTCGCAATAGACGTCTTGCGATTAACCCGCGAGTTGCTGGGGGGGGGGGCGTTAAACGCCAAATTTTGGGTACCTGTAGGGAATTGATTGAAGTTTATTGTGACAAAGTTTCAAAAAAATCGGTCTGAAAATTTTTGAGATATCGAGGTTTTAGTGACGTCATGATTTCTGAGTTTTCGACCAAAAACGGCATATGTTAAAAAAATCATATAAAATCACAGAACAGACATACAGACATGCAGTAAACGCCATTAGACTGCCAATACCATAAACAATCAAATGGCTATCTTCGATTATTGATTATCGTTCCGCATTTTCCAAAATCTTGAATTGAATCTTGGCAATTTCTCGTGACTACTTTACGACCATGATACATGCATTTCTTAACCCGCGCCCCGTTGGGCTCTGCCGAGCAACGCGCCCCGTTGGGGGGGGGGGGGGGCATTTTGGCCCCCCCCTAAGATCTCGAGAACCACGCAACGTAGCGACAAGCGGCAAACGGTGTTGGATAGCTCTATCAGGGAACTACCTTGTGACCCAATTTTATTGACCTAGGTCAA